CGATTTCTGTCCAAAATGTTTCTATAATACGTCTTCTTGTAATCGAATCGTTAGGAGGCATCCGCATAAAAAAAAGACTCGGTCGCGGTCAGAGGGTCGACACGGTGACATTTCTAAAAATATTTATAACCTCGCGGCGGCCAGGTGAATCGCAGGATAACCCGGGAACAAAAGGCGAGGTCGGCGCGCGGCGAAACGAAGCGCGTAAAATTGCAAAACGGCGCCAAGGGACGCGGAACGAATCCACTCGAACGACTATATTCTCGGTCGACTAACAGGAACTCGGAAGTCCGCGGCCATTAAAAATGGTTGTTATCGTGCCCGCGTTAGCGACCTAATGCCGCTTGATACAGCCGCGAAAGTAGACGGGCCGGAGGGGGGAGGGCCCGACATTTTCGTTCCGCGACGGTATTAGCGGCGCTTCCGTGCGAGTTTTGCTAAATTGCCGTATTTTCCGGCTCGTTATTGCGAACGCGTCTCGTTATCTGTTAATGCCGCCGCCGCTGCCGCCCTCGCCGCCGCCCGCCCTCCGCGATGAGAAACACCGAGGCGTAAAACGTAACGGAGAGCATTCGCCAGACCGGCTCAGAAATGCCCGCGCCGCGCCGCGCCGGGGGAACGAAAGCTTCAAACGCGACGCCGCACCGCGGCACCGTTTACAAACGCTTCCCGTTGCTTTTAACGTTAACACGGCCCTTGCGCTGCACACCGATTCCACTGGAAACGTTCGGAACACCGGATACCCGAATCTGATTGCGCGGAATCATGGGACTGTTGCGTGCGAATGAGACGATAAACGGATCCGCGGGACGAGATGCCTCGGATCTTCGCGATTCACCTGTTACTTCGTGTTGTTGTTGCTTATTGTCGGTGTTGTTCAATTTGTTGAACAACATACGTTATAATAATACTTTGTTACAAAAGAAGTGACAACAAATAGAGAGATTTTATATAGCAATCGCATGAGTATGAACGAAGAAAGAGAAATTAAAATATATATGTGCCCATAATTATGAAAGTGGTCTAAGTCAAAATTAAAAAAAAAATGAATTTATCACTTATTTCACACGACATGATTTTAAACTAAATTCATTCAATGTAAGTTTTACGATATCGTCAAAAATGAACCTTTAGATAGTAGTTGTAATTACAACGTTATACGGAATTCATTTAGTGTTAATTATGAAAGTGGTCTAAGTCAACAATTTAAAGAAATTATATAAACATAACTTGAAAATACCGCGTGGCCCTCTTTGTCGCGTTTCTGAACTACATAATAATGAAAATATAAAAAGCAAATTACTTATACAATCCTGAACATTACTATGAATTGATCGAAAATTGTAGAAAAAGAAATACATTTTCGATCAAACGAATGTCGCAGCCGGATTTTATTTCAACGAAATCACTTGAAAAATCAATAACAAGGAGAGTAAAAATACCGCGGGCGAATCTGTCTCTTGGCTAAAAATTCAATGTGTGTGGATGAGATTCTTGATAAATGAACCTTATAAAATGTTTTATAAGACTTCTTTAGATGATTCTGAATTCCAAGTTTTGGAT